TGCTGGGGAGCGGCCCGAGGCTCCCGGCCGGCTCGGAGCCGGGAAGCGGGCTCCCTGCCCAGCGCGGGCCCCGCGCCCGGGCCTTCCTGGAGGAGCAGGGCGCTTTTAAGTGGGGGGAGCAGCGCTGCCGCCCGGACGTCGCGAAGGGACGGCGAGCGCGCGCCGATAGCCCGGCCCGGCCCGGCCCGCCCGAGGCCTTCGCCGCGGCCACCGCGGCCCAGGTGCGGCTCCCGGAGCCCGGCCCAGTCCCGCAGCCCAGCAGCCTCGGGCGGGCGCTGCCTCTCCACCTCCCGCCCCTCGGGCGGCGCGGGGCTGCGTGGCCGGGCTCCGTGCCCGCCGCGCCGGCCCCAGGTCGGTCACCGGCCCGGCCCGCCCCGGCCCGGCCCGTGCCTCACCTGGGCTCGGAGGCAGAGGACCAGCAAGTGCAGCAGCCTGGGGAGACAAAAGCGGGAGAGCGTGAGCGGGGCCGGGGCGCGAGGCGGGGCGGGGGCGGCGGTACTCACAGGCAGCGCAGCGCGCGGCGGGGGCTGCCCATGGCCGGCCGAGGGCGCGGGGCGCAGAGGCGAGGGCGCGGGCGCGGGGCGCGGGTCCCGGAACGTCGTGCTGGCCACGCCGCGCTGGATCCTGTGCACCGCTCTCGGAGCGGGGCGCACGGAGGGGTAACGGGCCGCGGGGTGGGTGGGTCGTGGGGAGCCAGAGAGGGGCGGGGCGGGGGGGCGGGGGGCGCCGCACCGGGCGCGGGGGTGGTGCGTGGGGCGTGGAGCGCGAGGCCGAAGCCCGCAGCCCCGGGCTGGGAGCTGGGGTCGGGTCGCAGCCCCGGCGGGGGCGGGGCGGGGCGGGACGGCCGACGGGTCTGGGATTGGGGGTCTAGGCTAGGGGAGGGGTCTGGGGACCCGGAGAGGGGCGGGGGCGGCTGGAGTGGAGCCCTTCGCGGTCCCCAGTCCGTCCCCTCGCGCGCGTCTGGACCCTGGTCGCGCGGGAACTTAGTGGCGTCCCGAGGCCTGGGCTGGGGCTCCCCGGGGCGCCTGAACCCTGCCGCGCCGCTCTCCGCGTGGGGCTGGCTCTGCGGTGCCCCTGTCCCGACGGCCGGTCCCCCGGAGTTTCCGACAGACTGGCCGCGGAGCGCAAGGCCCGTGTGGCCGGGGACCTGGCTTGCTGCGTGCTCAGCCCTTCCAACTTGCGGTGTCTCTAAGGAGGCCCTGGGCGGTAGACCCCATTACCACATCCTTCTGCCCCTTTCAGTCCGAAGCTCCGAGGGGTCATGAGCTACCTTTGTGAAACGAGGAGCTCTGAGGTCCCTGCGGGACCCAATTAGCTGCCCCCCACCTAAAATCCAGCAGCCTCAGGGGCAAAAGTAGCTCTCTCTGCAGCTCGTCCTAGAGGAGGGGATCTAGAGCTCAGACACCCGCCCTTCCCTCTCCAAGTCCCGTGGCTTTTTAGTTAAACAGGTGTTTATATTCGTGTACTAGGCAAGGGCTCAGAACCTTGTGTGGCTGGGAGGGGAGAAGACAGAGACTTGTTTAAAACTCTCCCAGCCCTTTGCCTCACTGCTTCTCTTTCCTATGCGTGGACACCCTGAGCACCATTGTGCTTTCCTAGGAGCAGCCTGGGCGGGTGAACCAGAGGTGCCCTGGGACCAGTGTTTCCTGGGAGCAGTTGGGGCCCCAGATGCCCTTCCAGCTCCTCCTGCATCCACAACCCCGCACCACTGCAGATGGGGCTGGAGGGGCCAGGATAGTCTGAGAACCTGTTTAGGCCAGAGGCACAGCAGCGAGGTTTGGCCCACCCCTGCCCTTTTCTGTGTACCGCTCTTCCCCACTCCTGGCCACACATGCGCGCACTAGCCATAGCCAGAGAGGGTTGGTCTCAATACCTCATCTCTTCTCAGAGAAACAGAGTGAGCGCCCCTCCAGAGGCTGTTCCCTCTGCTCTTGCCCTCAGAGCCTGGTGGCAAGCACCATGCTTTACTAGCAAAGAAACTGCAGCTCCTGGCACAGCTGAACAGAGCCCTTCTGCACTTAGAGTTCCTGGCATGAATGAATGGATGGATGGATGAGGGAGAAATGGGGCGCTTGGTCAAAATTGAAACTTCAGCTCATGGACAACTTCGCAGGAGGGAGGGGGGTTCCCTACCCAACAGATAATAATCTTAATAAACACCACCATTTACTGAGCACTTCAGTTAAAGCTGAGTCGGATCTGCTCTCCACTCTGTTGGGAAGTGAGCCCGTGGGGAAGACAGGGCAGGTAGGCGTCACTGCCCATGGCCCAGGCCAGTGGGTCACCTTCACTCTGCTCTGCTAAAGCTGCTGCAACTCTTTGTTATTTGCTTCTGACTCTGCATTGCTCCAAGCAAGCAAGGGTGATGCCTCTTTGCTCACAACTAACTTAATTCCTGGACATAGTAGGCCCTGGAAAGGTGTATGAAAGAACGAATGAATGAATGGAAGAATGGAGGGGCCCAGGGAGAGGGAAGCAGGCACTGCTCCCCACCATGGACACAGCCCTTGGAAGACAAGTCTGCCAACCCACCAGGCAGTGTAGTGTGACCCGGTCCTGTAGTCACAGACACAGCATGCTGGGTACCTGACCCTCCTGGAATGGGAGTGAGGGGCAGAGAACCTGGTTCAGACCAGTGTTCCACCCTAGTGTTATTCCCCCCCCCCCCCCCGCGCAGGTCCTGAGGACGCGGGCTGAAGCTCAGTGATCTTTGCCCGCCTTCTCCCTCCCCAGAGGAGAGGGGCTCCTGGGGCCTAAGGGTCAGAGGTCAGCATTTTGGTCCTACTCCCACCTCTGCCAGGGCTCCCCCAGGACTAAATTCCTTCACACGAGAAAAGCTCCCAGGAGCCTGACCCTATCCTCCATGGAGATTCTTCCCGTTGCCCCAGAAGTCTGTGTCTCCAGGGACCCCGGGCAGATGGGTCGCCCCAGCAGCAGGCACCGGTTCGGCCCGGCGCGCTGGTGACTGACAAACGCAGACGTCCCGCCGCTCGCGGGCCGCCCCTTGCTCCTCCCTAGCGCGCGCCTCCCGCCGGCTCCCTCCTTCCTTTATCTTATCAAAGCCCCGTAATTACAATTGCTATTTTGTTTCCTCGAATCTGCAATCAGAGCTCCCGGGCCCAGAGGAGGGAGCGCCTGTCAACCTGATCGCTGAGGGACAGTCTGGCCACCTTTCCCAGCCGCCCCACACCACACACGCACGCACACACACGCGCACACTCGCACACGCGCTCCCTCCTTCCCTAGCTGACAGGAACACGCGCTCCTCAAACTCATTCTGGCCGGGGCTGAATGCGCCGCTCGCCCCGCCGTCCATCCAAAGGGGCTGCGGAGGCTGCGTCCCGCGTCGCGCGGGGTCCGGGTCCCTCCTCCGCCCCTACAACTGGCGCTCGAAGTCCAAGGTGCCCCCTGCTGAGCGCGGAGTGCAGAAACCTGTGGGGGCAGCGCAGGTAACACCCAGCGGGCTCGCGGCCGGCCGGAGACTCAGGAGCCGGGAGGCTGATGTGGATTGGGCCCTCGCCAAGGGCAGAAGCGCGCTTCCCGCTCCCCGGGGGTCCTAGTGAGCAATACAAAGGGCGATCCGGACAGCGCGGGGAGACCCTGGGGCGGAGCCGTGCTCACGGGCGGGTGGGCGGTGGGAGGCTGCTAGGACGTGACGCGAGTGCACCCGGCTGGTTTCCCGCTCCCCGAGCCAAGCACGTGCCAGACTTTGAGGCTGCCCCGAGAAAGGAAGAACAGCACCGCCCAGGTCCTTCCTTTGTGAGCATCTCTCTGAGCACACGTATGTGTGCAAGGGTAAAGGACTTACTCCCTCGCCTCCGCTTAAGCATAGTCGCTGGGTCCCTGTCGGGTTCGCAGGTCCCTTCGCCGTTGCGCTGGTTTAGTCTGCGCTCCCAGATGCACCGCGCGGCCCAGATGTTCCAAACGCGGCCACTAGAGGGCGCCAGTCCTCCCCTCCCTGCTCCCAGGCTTTCCCGGCCCTCTGCCCGACGCTTGGGTGAAAAGGCGACCGCGACTCTGACCACTGCCACGCAGAGAGGGCGCATCTCTCTCTGTCCTCAACTTGAGGAAAAATGGGAGCCCACAGCTCCGCACCACAGGCGTGGGGAGACTGCTTTTCCGTATGGAGGGTCCCTCTCTTCAAAGCCACACAAACAGCCTTATCTGGGCCCCTCCTTCGTGCCCACTCACTTGCCCAGCATCTGGTGTGGAACCCGCCTCACCCCCACCCCCATCCTCTGTCCATCCACAGCCTGTCTGGCCCCAGGCTGTCTGGGGAGGTACTATTGTTTGTTTGTTTGTTTGTGGGCCACTGACACCTCCTATCAACACAACTGCTGAACTACTGACCCCAAAGCTGGTCACACTCGCTCTTGCTCTTACACGTACACCACGGTGCAGAAGCCACACCTCAGAACCCGACTCCAGGCACCTGAGACCCCCACACCGGGTGGTGGGCTGGGGGTAGGGATGGTAGCCCAGGAGGCTGATTCCCAGGGGCTCCCTTCTGCCCCCATATGCCAGGCCACCAGGATTCTGGTTTCCTTGTCACCCAATCTGACCAGTCCCCTCCATCTGGCCCTGGGAGTCAGGTTTCTAAGGGCCAGTCTGAAAGACTGAAGGAGGAGCACACTGCTTCCTGCCCACCTCTCACAGGCCCTTTCTGGGCCCGAGCCCCTCAGAGCTAGGGATACACATTCCTCAGGCTGCTTAAGCCCACTTATCTGTCCCCTGCCCATCAGCCTGAGTGCTGACAGAGGCCCAGACTCCTTGTTTGGACCCAGATAACCTCCTGCGATGGCCTCCCCCACCCGCAGGCCCTGGGAATGAACAGTGCAAAGGGAGGACTCCCTCCAGCAAGGCAGCTGGGGCCTGGGGTTGGTGGGATCCCCATTCCTTTACCAGTCCCCAGACCAAGGCCATCCTTTACGTTGCCATAGTGCCACCTGGTGGTCCCTAGGGAAACATCACCTGAGCACAGAAGAAGGCACACAAATGAGTTGCAAAAAAAGCCATATCACTTTATTTCAAACTTTATCTAAAACTGTAAAAACTGTTAAAAATGTAATTCTGAGCTTCATAAACTTGCGATTCAAAGGCAGGTGAGGAGGAAGGGTCAGGATAGAAGTTCAGAGTCCCTCCTACCCTGTAGAAAAAGGGAGCCTGGGGGTTGGTGGAGGCCAACCCAATTCCCTCCCTCCGGATCTCTCATCCAGAACTCTCCTCCTCCTTCTCCTCAAGGCAGAAGAAACATTTCTGATTCTTGAAACCTGTCCAGGAACTCTGGGCATGGTACAGGTAGCAGGCAGCTCCTGGACCTGAAAAAGCAAGTAAGGGATCAGTGTCTAGGCTCTCACCTGCCCCTCCTGTCCCCTCCCAGAAAAGCTGGGCACCCCTCCTTTCCACTCACCAAAGAGGACTAGGGCCTGGTCCCCTGCTTTTTAGCAGGAAGGATGGGGCGCAGCTCTGCTTCCTCCTCATCCTCCTCTTCCTCCGAAACATCATTGCTTATAGTAACTGGAGGACATGCATGTGCAGGAGAGTTGTTAAAGGCAGGCATTCTTTAACACTGCATGTCACTTATTTATACCCAGAGTGCTAGGCTGGTGGGGACTCCGCCTTCCTAGAGATCACAGTCTAGCTGGGAAGAAGCTCAACTACTGAACTAGTTAAGACAGGGCCAAAGGAGTTCACAGGCTTGGGTGGGACCGCACAGAGAGCACGCTAAGGAGGGCAAGCAGGTCTGGATGGGGATACCCTGGGACTAAAGGCTGGGACAGGGCAAAAAGGAGGAGGGAGGGAAAGGCTGGGTGGAGAATAACAGACAGAGCAGCAAGCCTCCTCTCTTCTCACCAATCTGGTGCCGCCCGGTGACCCGCACCGGGCCGGAGCCCGATTTCAGGCGGAAGGTTACAGGAGGCTGGAGCTGGAAGTCATCCAAACTGAGCTGGGAGGAAGACAACGATGAGGCCTGCCCGCTCCTGCCCAACCCATCTGGCGCTGAGTACCAAATCTCTCGACGCCCACACGGCCCCGACGCGGCTCACCATGGGTTGGCAAGACAGCTTGAGGTTGGCCACGGGGACTGCGATCTCCTGGTGGTCATGGTTCCGGGCCACCACTTCCACCACATTACACTCGTCCTTCGCTCCCTCGGTGAGGCACAGCTGGGGAAGGCACACGCGCGGCCTCAGCGTTTGCTCACGCAGGCTGCGCACCCCCTCGACGGAACCCCCTAAACTCGGCCCAGCCGCACAAGTCCAGGGTCTAGGGGAGGCGCTTCCCGCCAAGTGTGCGGGCAGCAGCCGGGCTCCTCCTCACCATGGTCAGCGCCAGCACGTGCTCTGCGTCGTCCTCCTCCTCGACTTTGAAAGTGAAGGATCGGGTATGGCTGGAGAGTTCGCAGCCTGCGAGAAGAGACAGAGGCACCCGCCGCGTGTGTAGCTGGCGTAAGAGGGGGGCGGCGGGGGTCTGTCCGCGCGTCACAGGCCGGACCCGCACAGGCAGGCCCCGAACACGCCCACGATGCCCGTGGCTCGCCTGGGGTGGCTCGCATGCCCCAAGCAAGACTCACGCTCCGACTCCGGCGACCGCGGGCGAAGGCCCTTGGCGCGGACTTTCAGGACCCTGCACCCACGCCCGCGGCGTGCAGTCCTGCGCACTTCAGCTCCGCTGCCCTCCCTACTTCCACAGCCCTCTCGTACCGAAAAAGAAGCTGTCCATAGTGACCGGGGCCGGGACCCGCAGGCCGCTGACACCGCCGGCTCGGACCCGGCTCTCTGGGCTCAGGAACGCGGCGGCGGCAGCGGCGGCCATGCTGCGAAGCCGTCCTTAAGCCCCACCCCGACGCGTGCGGGACCAAGCGGCTTCCGGTCACGCCCCTTAAAGGGGCCAACGCAGAGACTAGCGAGTGTGCTGTACAAATCCGTGGAGGAAGTTTAACAGGGTAGCTGAGGATTCAGTGTCACATTCATTCCCAAGACCAAGTAGGCGCCTCTTTTCTGCAGCTCACCGCAACCTCCTCTAGCGTGTCACCCAGAGCAAGCTTTCCTTAAGAGGTGTAACCACAACTGTACTGTACTTCCTTTTCCAGTCTTTCACCAACATGGGGTTCTGTGTTTCTCCATATTGGGGACTGAACCCAGAGCCCTCATACTGAACTACACTTACGGACTCCATTGTCCTCCCCACCCCTTATGTTTGCGCCGGTCTCCCTAAACTGCTCAGATGGTACTATTTGTGATGCTTTTGCTTCAACCTCCCAAATCTGGAGTCGTAGCACGGGCCATTTACCGAAGAAAAGAAAGTGCTAAGCTTTGCCATTGTGTAGTTTGCAGGAATACTCTGGCCTCTTTAAGTTCAAGCCCACACCCTTCCTGCCATGACCTTGTGGCACCGGTTCCTGAGGTGCTTCCACCATTCTCCACCGGCCTTCAGAGTGGCAGGATGCTGATGCTTGCTGGTCAGCTCCGATGGGGGACTGGGACTGCTACTCCAGGCAGATCCACTTTAAGTTTCTAATTCCAGATCAGCCCAAGAACATCCTTGTGTTTTAAATTCTTTTCTATTTCACACCATCTAGTACTTTTACCCAATCTGTCCCCTTCTGACTACACAATTGGGCAAACTATTCTCTTATCCTGTTAGATGACAGAAATTTTCTGAGCGGCTACCCTATTTTACACTCATGTTGTATCTTGAAAAGGGAGGTTTGGCTAAAAACATAAGTCTGCTTTTCTTAGCTTTTGCCTTGCCTTCAAGATCCAATCTAACTCGCTCACAGGTGAGGGATTACAGAGCAAAGGCAGGGGGTAGACAGGGAAGTAGGTGCACGAAGTACAACACAACACATAATCACTTCAAGTTTTATTTTGCCTCTTACATGGTCTTCAGATAGTTTTACAGTTCGTATTCTACAGGAACTGAGCTGTGATCTAAACAATGAAATGTCATTCCAACCTTAATAAATACTCATAACCATGGAAGAACACGGCATAGCACTTTACAATCCTAGAGTGATGAAGGTATAAGTATAGACCTGGATATCTGCTTCACATTTTAATACATGTGATCAGAAGACCAGTCAAAGTAATTAAAAGCCAAGATTAAAACCAAAAGGAACTTGTTTAAAAATCCTGATTCCGTATGAAATTGACCCCGAAAACCTCCAGATAAAATAATGTTGCAATACGTAGTCTACTAGTGCTTGAGATATATTAAAAAAGAAAACTGAGTAACATTCAATTGTCTTTAAACATTATTTAGTAGGGATCTTCTCTTCACCTCAGCCCTCAAAACTGTGAACTTGGTCTCAGCTTTACAACACACCACATCCTGTTCAAAGATTTGTACCCTACGAAAAGTAACATCTTTCTCCTTACCCATTCAACACTCCTATGCCTTGGGTAGAAGTCACTAGGTACAGTGCTGTAAGACTAGATATCCAAGTCCACACTAGTGGAGCTCTACACAAAGGAAAATAGTTCAGTTTTCCTTCACACAGCTCAAAGTTAAACAGATGATGCAAAGCTGTAGGTAAGCAAGGTAACAAAACAGTGATATAAATCTAGGGAGAAATCAGCCAGGCATGATGAAAAAACTGAATCCCGAAGAGACTACCTTCCAGTCTCATGCTTAAAACCCTTGCAAACACCAACGCTAAAATACATGAAGCTTTCAGAATCTGTGATTAAAGAAAAAGAAATGGTTGTAACCATAAAGTGTTCATTCTTTAAAAATTAGATAAAACATGCAAGAATTAAAGACAGATTTAGTTAAACCAGTAGTAATAGGTGTAGAGATTAAAAAACACCTGATCCAAGAGCAGTTAAGACCAGTCAGTTCCCTTATCCTACTTGACAGATGTCCAAACTAACATTTAACACACTGATCTTCAAATGAGGTTAATTTTCAGAAGCAACTTCATGTTGCAACAGATTGAGTCTTACGAAGTTAGGCTCTCGTACCCAAAATGGTCATAGCCTATCCCTAGTGTGCAACACATTAAAAAATAAAGCTGCTCAATACAATGGGGAAAAAATCCACCTTCCACTAATTTACAGTATTCAAAGTGCCATCCTAAACCAACACCTTTCCATTTTAAAAGAAAAAAATTACAAAAATGGTCAACAAAAGATAATCAGGTTACAGCTAGTTTATATACAAAGAATTTTACAAATTATCAATTTTAGGCTTTTGCCAAAAACTGCACTGGCCCTATGAAGCACAACATGCCCAAGCCAATGGTCACAGGAGATTACCAGCCATGGCTTTACGAAAAGCAGAAATATTGCCCCAGATTGACAATTGTTTATTCAGCTTAAACTAATGCCACAACCATTTCACTTTGAACATCCAACCTGAAGTCTCTGGAACCCACTAAGTCTTCTTTCATCTCTGTTCTGTCTCCAAAGAATGAGACATTTAATAACCAAGGAGGATGACAGAAGTAATTCTGATTCTCTTAGGTGAGAAATCCAACCACACTGGATGCAGAAAATAGTGCTGACTACATTTATTCAAGACCCTTCTCCCTACAAAAGCCCACATAAGAGGTCTTGGCACCCAAGATGAGATGTAAAACCCGAAAGAGAAGCCCAAATCTGTTTTATACAGGACTTGCAACAACACTATCTTCCTCCATCCAGAGTGGTCTCAGTGTGCGATGGGTAAACTTCAGGGTGGTGTTTCCAATTCAATTGTTGATCTGTTGCCGCTCCAGACGCTGAACAGTCTGAAGACCCCAATACCAACCACACGGCGTTAAGACTGACAGTTCACAGAGCCAACGAAGGTCACAGGCTCCGACCAAGTATAACCACATCCTTTGGAAATCCTTCCATTTTTGCAATTTCAAAACAGCCTAACTTGCTGTAAAACTCCAGAATTCTTTTATCATCTGGTCTCACTTCACAGAAAGCCCCGCGGGAGCCTAGAAATACCAATGTTCAAAACATCAATGTCCATTACAATTAAATAAATAAAATTAATATAAAGTATAACAATATACATAATAGGACCTTGTCTTTAAAATTTATGCCACAATTTAAAAATTCTTACTAATATTCAACAACTGAAATTCTTCCCCCAAAAGAAAATCTTTTGGTAAGTAAGATGTACAAGAACTCAAGGTAAGGACCAGGGTTTAGCTTAGTGGTTTAAGTGCCTGCTTGGCAAATGCAAGGCTTTGAATTCAATCCCCAGTACCAAACAAAAAAGAACAAGAAGAAGAAGAACTCTAGCATTCTGGCTGCTGATGCAGGAGGACTGCTGAGAGTTTGAGGCAAGCCTCGGCTACACAATGGAGTTCAAGGCCAGACTGAACTACATAGAATCTGTCTCAAAAAAAGAAAACTCAAAGTAAAGCATGTATCTGTTCAACATATACAAAGAACCTTTTAGGGACCTACAGGGCACAGCCTGTCACAAGTCATACAATCAGAATGCTATATATTCAAAGATGAATCTCACTTATTTGTTGTAATTCAGTTCCGAGTGTTGTACACCATTAAGGATTATCTTTTCTTACCAGGTGTGGCGGCATACACTGTCATCCCAACACTCAGGAAAGAAGCTGAGGCAGAGGGATGCAGCAAGTTTAAGGCCAGCCTGGATAACACAAAGAGGTACTGTCTCACCCATTTCCCCCAAAAATTATCTTAGAAGTTAATTAAATTATTCCATCAAAAATATATGAGGGGCATTTTCATGGATCAACAACTCTAAGGCTGGCAAATAATTAGTTGTGTAAGGTGAAAAAATTTTTTGCAATTTTCAAGTGTTTTAAAAGAGAATATGTAATGGAGACCTTAAAGAATAAAGTATTTACTCTCTGACCCTTTAGAGAAGAATTTCTCATAATAATGTTGAGAAGAATTTCTGAAGTTTAGCGCGTGCGTGCGTGCGTGCATGTGTGCGTGCATGTGTGCGTGCGTGCGTGCGTGCGTGTGTAGTACTGGAGATTGAGCTCTGGGCCCCGTGCATATTAAGCAAATGCTCTCCCACCTCCAGCCCAAAGACCAAGTTTAAATAACAAACTTGTACACATTACATTCCTGAAAGAAGTTTCTTCCTGAGCAGCATTTTTCCTTTTTTCTATTTTTGAAGTATCAGTGACTGAACCCAGGAAGCACTAAAAACTACTTCCTATTCCCTCTTATAAATTAAATTGCAATTTTCTTCCCTCAGTCTTCCAACAAGCTGGGGTTACAGGTATGCACCACCACACCTAGCCAGAGCGTTTTTTTCAATGTTAATGCAAATGCGATTTTTTTTGTTTGTTTGTTTTGTTTTGGTATTGGGGATGGAACTTACAACCTCACGTTTGCCAGACAGGCATGGCACTTATGCTGCTGAGCTAAATCCTCAGGCCCCTACAACTGCGATTATTACACTGCTAACAATTCAGAAAATATGAGAAAAGCTGGACACAGTGGCATGACATGTAGCTTAAGTTATAGCTGAGAGGCTGAGACCACTCAAAAGGTTGAGGCCAGCCTCACAGATTCTTCCTAACACACTCTAATACACATAGGAAGTTTAAATCACAATTTGCTTCTTTGCTTTTTGAGCCAAACACAGTCCTTGCTCAAACAATGCCAACTCCATAGATACTCACCATTAGCCTTCAATGAAGACAGGAGGCAAGCCATCATACTTTTAGCCACACTTGGATCAGTTACTTTTTTGTGAATATCCATCTTTATCAGAGAAGGGAAATTGGCAAGGAAAGTTTCTGGCAATACTTCTTGTTCTTCATGGAAACTCAACATTATTTTCTGCAAAAAAATTAATCTTTTGAATTTTGGCAGTTATCCAGTATCAGAGTATAGTACATATATACATTCAGTAACTCAGTAAAAG